ATAAGCAATCAAATTAGCTGCAAGATAATAATTAAATGGTTATTAATGTATATTTAAGATGGAAATGTGGGAAAATATAATTAATTACCCCAATCTTAGTAATAAGTAGTCCTGGCTTATTTTACTTACGACCGTAAGTAAACTTACGGGAGTATAATCTAACTCTAATTTAATCGTATAGTGAAAAGTCAAAATACATATCCCATAGCAGTCCTACTCATATTTACTTACTGGAAGGCGATATTCCCAGTGGCTTGTGGGATGTGTGACACATTTCATTTCATTGCATCTAGTTCTGAAAGAATTGTGGACCTCTTTTTTACGAAACACTGCTTATCTAGTCCCAACATTGCAACCCAGGTGTTAGTTATTATTAAACTTAGCGGGAAATGTTATGCTAACCGTCGTGATTGAATTTTTTGAGAAACCAAGAGAATATATGTTCCGAAAGACGTATTTGTTTTGACTGAACACGTGAATTTAATTGATTATCTGTCATTTATTTTTGGGGCATCCATAGTTAAACTTTTAAACTGACTGGTAACTTTAACATGTTGCAAAAATCTGTATCGAGTCCTGCGGTGAGATTTTCTGTTATGCCTTACTTTTATGAAGTGCATCTATTCAAAGTCTCAATTAACCCTGGTGTATGTACGCAGACATACATCTGATTCTGGTCGTACTTGCTTGAATCAACGCTGACTGGTTCTAGGGTGTGGCAGTCTTTTACAATCCCATTAGTTGTGTGTATGGAAGCTCATTTGCCCGTATGCAAAATTTTCGTAGGATAATTACACTCAGAAATTTGAAACGGGATTTTCAATGCTGATTTTGTGATGGCATTGTATCACAATCCAAAATCCGTATGAAAAGTTTGGGTCATTCTCTCATAGTAGTTGTAATATGGGTTCAGAACTAAAGACTGTCGTTATATTAAATAACTTTATAATATTTCAGTTGGATTGGGAGTTTAAATTCTCGTAATACATTCGTTGCAAAGTATGAATAACAATTATAACGTGTCAATAATATTTTTTGAATCACGTAAATGTTATGAACGTCGGAAGTAATGTATAAATTATACGTAGACGATTATAATGTTAATTGTTTGCCGAAAGTTCGTAGTAAAAAGTTGAGTGTTGAGGGGGATGGGTCATTTTAATACACATTAAGATGTTGATAAGGGAAAAAGTATCATATGGTCAAAAGTCGTAAAATGTCGTGTATTAAAATAAGAGAAGACAAATAGAGAGTTTTAGTATTTTGACCAAGCAAACTGTGGATTGATGCTTTTAACTGCACATGGTCTTAAGCTATGTCATATTGATAACACGTAGGTTTCCTTTGTTACCAGCAATTTACACTTAAATTTACACTCCAGGCAAACAACCAATGACTTCATGAATCAGTCTAAATATGATTATACGACATTGTTCAACATAATACATTTTTGACTTGCTGACAGCATTTTAGGGCAGTTCAGGCAAAATATGTGTAGTACATGTGTGGTCGATAAAGATTTGTCCTTTCTATGAATAAACTCACATGCTGAAATTATCTAGCGATTTATTTCTACTGGGAAGTAGTCAGTCTTTGAAGGCGATTATGTCCGGCGTGAAGTTACAAATACTCATTATCTTTTCTTTGTTTTCTAAAGTAAACTTCACTATAAGTACCAGGTTCATAGAATTTAAGAAGTAAAATTCTACTGTCCTATCTAGTATACTGTTCAGTCATTACTTTTGGTAACATGCAAGGGATTTGCCAATATTAAGCGCTACCTAAATTAGTTTTTGCACTTTTTGATGTATATTGTAACCATAAGGAAAATTCTATTCCATCGGAGATTTTTCTATGCTAAATTCGGTTCTAAAGTCAGAGGCTTTGTCAATAGATAGTTTCAGTTCACAACTAGCCTTATGTAGAAATACTGGTTTCTAGATAATAGGCAGTATAGTCCTTAAGTTTCTGGTTCAATGTATTGTCTAATCTTATCTCCAAATGCATGACTTGTATCACCATTCTGATGACTATTCTCGTTTCCTTTCAGATCATATACCTTATAACCTCTCATTCTCACATTGTAATTTTGAATTGTGTGTAGAATAAGTCATAAATTACTTAGCAGACAAATCTTTGGTTGAACAGTGAGTTTATATTTAATTAATATTCTAACATTTTTATTACAGGATTGTGCACACCTACAGTATCAGTTTCAGTGTCGTCATAATCTAGCCCTTTCCTTCTGTTAGTAATGTGCTGAAAGAAAACCTGTATATACATTAAAAAAGAAAATCTATTTAGTGCAAAATGATTGCAACAATTTCAAATAGTCTGTTCATCAAGTGTTGTAGCTATTCTGTTTATTCACCTATAAAATTCTCTATGGATACAATGTCCACTATGGTATATCGTAACAGAAATCCAAGGTTGAATAAATGATTATCACTTATTATGTATTCTAGAAATCTTGAATTGCTTGGCTTAGCACCAAAAACAAAAGGCTGGGAATTTCAAGCTCCACGAAAAGACTTTTGGAATAAGTAATCCTGTTTTTATATAAATGTATTTATAAATCTCTCTCTCTTTTCTTTCCTACTAGAGTGATATTAGATAAAGCATCAAATCATACAACTGGTTTAGTTGTCCATAATTCATCAAATATACTAGTCTCTGCTTCAACTAAAGAGAAGAGTATAAAAAAGCATTTGTTTAGGTATTATACTGATTGATTATATCATAAACATTTTATGTATTAGTTGCACTGATGTCTCTGCTGCAGCAAACATTGGCAGAGTATTAGCCTTCAGGTGTCAACAATGTGGTTTAATTGAATTATTTACTGATACGACTGAATTATCTAAAGAAAATGAAAGCGTAAGTTGTTTGTTTCTTTTGAATGTACAATTTTTGAAAAAAAATATAGACTCGAGCTTTCTATGAGTCCTTGTTAGCTGGTGGTATACAACTCACAGAAACACCACAAATTGAGAGTGCAGAACCTATTGGTATAGATTATGATAATATGTCAGATGAAGAGAAACGCAGCATGTATCCAAGTTTAATTGAAAATCTTCGAACAACACCTGATTGGGATAATATTCCATATCCATATTCTCTAAGACCGAGATCTCAAAGAACGTCGTTGAGAAACAGATACCAAGTAAGCTCAATCTTTTTAATGATCTTCCTCAATACTAAATACTTCTTTTTTAATTGTTTTACTAATTCATTAGATAAGAAATCCTAACTTATTTATGTATTGTTATTGCTCCTTTGGGTTCCAAGTGGAACAGTAGCACGTCTTCATTTCATCCTGTTCTTAGTAGTTCTTCTTGTATATCTCCATGATTGCCCATCAACTTTCATCTCCTCTCCACATGATTTCCTCCATGTCAACCTCAAACATCCAGCTCGTCATTTCCCATTCAAGAGCCTGGCCCGCGATGTCACTTAACGGTCTCTTCAGCATATGTTAAAGCCATCTCTATTTCCTTCAGCATATATGTTGAGCAATGGATAAGAAATCCGTCGTTATGCTTATTTATCTTCTTGTAAAGATGAGAACGATTAAGATACATTAGTAGTAAGTAGCTTTTCTACCAGTGTCAGTGTGTATCCAGTCAGGTTATGTTACAATCGTAGAATTGAAAAATAGTACTACATTCATCTAACATTTATAAACTGCTTCTCAGTGAGTGTTTATTCATGAGTTGTGTACTAAAACCATTCTGAAGGGTTGACTACTCATTTCATAAATGTTTTGATAAGAACACTAATGTCTACAAAACCAACATTTTTTATTCTACTGCCTGGCATAGGTTGACTTCCTTATTTATCTAGAGCTGTGGCACACTGATTAAAGCACTCAACCTCCAACCAGTGGGTCTTAGATTCGAAATCCTCTCTGTCTACTCTGGTTTAAGAAGCCAGGTAGCATGTACAGCCCTCACAAAAGAGGTGTGACTTAGTGACGACTGCATAGACTCCCAAGTGATTATTCAGTTGAAGCTTGATGCTCTTGCTTTGTAGATGATAATTTGCAATAAGACGGTATCACTCTTTTTCGGTTGTAATAATTTTGTCTCATGATAAGCATCTGTTTACCACACTATTAAGCAGAAGCTTGGCTAAGTATTAGTAATAACTATAATGATAAGTCCCTCTAGAAACGTGGTTTTCTAAAGGGACATCTGTTTTTTGGGTGTAGGCAATCAGCAGGAAGCTCTGAATCTAAAGCACCTAGGGAATCGCGATATTATCGGTTTCTTACTTACTTACTTTGCTTCGGCTATCTCCTACGGAAGGATGAGCCGGCTTCATGAACTCAAATCATCGCTACCCAGGCGCAGCGATCTGATGAAGAGAGTTTACGAAGTTTCATGGGAATTTGGTACGAGTGATGTCCCCAGAACCACTCGGCCTTTTGTTTGATAGTGCAGCTCTAGCCTTTACACAACCAAGTGTGACCTACAAGGCAGTAGGAGTGGAGTAGGGGGTCCACTATCCATTGGCAGCCGGTGACCGGAGTTCGGTTCATACGCCTTTTTGAATGGGGCAAGACATCCAGGACATCCAACAAGCCCTTTGTCCATACGTCTGCCGGTGAGCTCCAGTGAGCTTCATACGCCAGTCGTTGGAGGTTTGGAATCAGGGTTTAGCCGTCTCCCCTAGACTGTCATCCAATGGACAGTCAACCCGGTGAAGAGCGCCGGGCATCCGCTTTCGCCCTCTCACTTTGGTGAAAAACACCTCCGCCACGTGAAGGCAGTGAGTAGGACTTCCTCAGGAGAGGCTATGTAAGACGCCCGGTCATATGGGAGCATTTCAAGAGGTGTGCGGAGGGGTGGCCAACCCGCAGCGCAAGGCACCCACCCCCGACCATCCTGAGGCTTTGGATATTCTGCATTAACTATTTAACAGACAAATGTCTATAATAGTTGTAAATATATTGTATTGTATCATTCTACACTATTAAGTATTTATAACCGGAACTTTTTGAGTAGTCATTGTTTCTACTGGAAAAATAGTTCAAAATCATGAGATATAGGTAAATACGAAAATTTATATTGTTTTACCCAGTCTTTAAATGTATCAAATCACTCCACTAATATATATTAGGATGTAGTACCATTTACAATTAAGTGCCTATAGGCACTCAGTATTTAAAGTGTGTAAAGTCACTCCCTCTGTATATGTTATTGTATTTATGCACAAAAATTTCATTATATGTAAGCGATATTCATTTAAAATACTCCAAAATGTAGTTCCATAGGGATGAGGAACAAAAGGTTAGGCTGCCGAGGGTTATATGGAGAAGATCATGTGTGAGAGGGGAATTAACACTTTCGAGGGGTAGTCGTAGAGCAGGGTTGAAATTGATGGCAGGGAATAGAATCAAATGGAGATGTGCCATTAAATGAGTAGTAGTTTGGTTCCTTTTTTCCGTCGGTTATGCAGTTTAAAATGTATCTAGAGAACTTTAAAATTCCACGGAGAGGTATTTAATGTTTTAATTAGTGTTCTGTTGTAAAATATGTTTTATAAATATGCAGAATACATGACATATTATTGAACTAAATCATTTTATACACTATTGTAGATTCTGTCAAAAATTCGTCAAGGCATGGTATGGGATTCGTTCTACTCTAGAATGGTACATCCACGAAACAAAGCCTATTGGCAACATGATTTTGAAGAAGCACAAAAGAAGAAACTTGAATCTCAAGTTATTACTTCAGATGATAATAAAGATGAACAGCCTGTAAATGTAATTGTTCCGTCTAAGTGGCAGTTAACGTAGTAATAAAAATACAATCTATCCTTTTCATATAGTCATTCAATGAATTTATGTAAAGTATTTGTATGAAATATAAATCTTGTAATAGTTGTGTTTTGCTCATACTAAATTAATTCCTGACGAAATCTTGGCACGTATACAAAAGGCTCGTGTGTCATTTGCCAATATCTGTGTCATCTCTGGCGTAGACGTGATATCCGGCTATCTATCAAAGGATGTGTGTGTATTGCTCGCCAATTCGCTACATCCTTCTCTACGATTGTAAGATACGGCCATTGAGAGCATAAGATATGAAAGGACTAACTTTCTTTGACTGCATCTGTGTACGGTTTATCTCTCGACTGAAGTGGTATCATATGGTGAGTAATATTCGCGTTAGGTTTAGTGTTAGATAAGAAAGGGAATTCAATCGATGTGGTTTTGAAATTGCATTGATCGAGAGTAGTGTCAGGTGACAAGAAATTAAGTTGGAAAAGAGTTGACTGTTGGTTTGAGCCATCCACTTAGGATGGTGTGAAATGTGTGGTTAGGGTCCTAGGAATGATAAGAACCATTGGCCAGAGATTATGGGTGAAATAGCTCAAAATCGCTCTGATTGGTGCAGACGCATTCACTCTCTGTGATCTGCTATATCCATTAAAACTTCATTCTTTTTCCATATTTCTATTCTTTCTCCCTCACATTTCAGCTCGTTATCGTTCTTTTGAATCTCTTCTCTCTCTCTCTCTCCTTACTCTACCTATGTGTGTTACATGGAGTGCGTCAATTTGAACTACTAAACTTCTGTGCAAAGTTGTATGTTGAAACTCATTTAGTCCTTAATTTAATTTGTTCATGAAAAATGTGTGGTGAGACTTGTTTTATTGGTTTTTAAATACTCACATTTCAGCTATATAGTTATGGGTTACAACCTTCATTTTTAACAAATGTGTTATCCCATCGACATTTCTTTATCTAGTAAATGTAAAGTAATCAAGTGGGAGTTATAACTGTCATACTGAACCTATTCAAACTCAATACTTTTAATTCCATAGTAGTTTGTTTATTAGATGTATCACACATTGAAACAGTATTATTTACTGGATTATTCTGCCTCTAATTCTGTCCGTTGGAACTGGAGCTCGTAGACGTAGGTATTTAGGAATGATTTCATTTTTTTAAGCATCGAATGTTGAAAGTACGATGATTTTCATATCTTGCTTCAGTTTGCGAAAGTCGAGTGAGTTTATACTTTTAGCCTTGTGAAGAGAAAGTGTCGTCTTTGATCACTAGTACGTATTTTGTTCAGTAATTGTATCATTACTTTGCAATGATTAGAACCAAATTAGATGAGATGGGTTCGAATAAGCCATTAGATTGTCCTTATTCTGAGTTTTTGTCATTAAATTGGAACTCTTATTTTTTTCTACATTTTAAGTGTTAATGTTAACCCTCGTCGACTCCTCTATTGAAGTTCAAGAGTATACTGGTGTACTAATACATCAGTGATGTTAATAAGATTTGAAAAGTTGTATTTCCTACCTATTGAAATATCCGGCTGTCTGACTATATAATGGTGAATATATGTTAAAGTAGTTCAGCAAATCCCGATGGATAGCTGTTACCTTGACTCGGTACTCGGACATACATATCGCAACGAGCTAAATTGGCTGGAACCAATGTTCCTGAAGGTCCTACCATGCCAGAAAGGTTGTTTGTATGGCCATTAGAATAAAAGCAGTTATCATCATAATTTAAATGGTTTACACTATGTTCAGGGTTTGTTGGCAAAGCCCTACTTCTGTGGAATAGGGATGTAACAACAGTATGGTGTTTCTCCTAGATGCCCAGCAGTGGTACCTCTCCACTCTGGAGGAGGGCAAAAATGTTTGGCACCGAAAATTGTACATTCGGACTTACCTTGCAGCAGTCCGTAGCCGACAGTAAGATCTTAATACGGACACAATACCAAAAACCGATTCAAACAAGCCGTGGGTGACCGACATCAAGCAGTTGTCCCACGGGATTTATGGTCACGCAACACTAATGCTCTTCCTTTTTCCGAGAGAAAAATTCTTTCCCTACTTTACTCTTGAGATATGATAGTTGAAGGTAGAATAAATATAAGTTGGTTACGGTTTATAATCATAGTTCGCTGTAGAGAGACAGAGAGAGTACTATTCAGTGTAGAAATTTATTTGTTCTTCAAAATTTTGGACATTTTAACATAGACATTCATTTAAGCCTAAATAAGATACTTACAAGGCAAATATTCCTACATTATCTTACTTCTAATTTTCTGTGCAATCGTATTACAACAATCATGGGGGACAACTAATTAATTATCAGGTGTTGGTTTGCAGGGATTCGATTGGTTACTGGTTTGGTCACGAGCTGACAACAGTTACAGAACCATTAAGAAATCGGGGAGTATTAGACAGCTGTCTCGTCCTGGGGTGGGTCTCCTCAGCAGTACGCAACCACCAGGGCTCCAACCCAGGATCTCCCAGTTACAACGCAAGCTTGCAGACCAATCAGCCACTGGGAACCAGTCAGATGGCCCATGATTTTCAACTTCTGCGACTGGCTGTATACAGGAACTGACCTGGAGCTCCAGTGAGAAGTCGTGACCGATTGGGTCTATCAAGTTAGTTAAGAGAACAGTTACTCGCCAGTGACGCTGGCGGTTGCGCTATGTATATACAATACCCTTAATGCATTTTAGCCTTGTAACGAGAAGGTCCTGGGTTCAAACTCCGGCGAGTGTCTACTACCGGAGAGCCCCGAACCAGGACAGAAGAACTACCCAGTACTGCCTGATTTTCCAATCGTTCTTTAACGGATAGGTAGCTCGTGATCAAACGTGCAGCTAACTTTTTGAGGTAAGTTAGGGTTATTAATGGTGATCGAGGTCGTTTGTTTCAATTATATACAGAGGAGAATAGCTATCAGCCTTTTCCTATTCTAGACAACCTGACCTTGTGTAATACGACTGGTTATTGACTATGTATCCTTTTATTTTATATAATTCATTAATTGCTAATAGTAACGTGATTGTAGAGAAAATATCTGAATATCAATTTCAGTTAATAATTAGCTACTGGATCAATGACCTGAAGTTCTAATGAGAAACTGTAACCACCACCATGTTAAGACGAAGTGGATATTCATCGGTTGATGATAAAACTACATTGCGAATTGACTGGAGTCAGAATTAATGGGTCACTGAATACTAGTCTAGTGTCTGAATATACCACAAGCAGGCCTGGTAAAATGAGGATTTGGGTTTGATCCCTGGTGGTGGGGTCATGGGTGCACAGTGTTAAAGAACCTGGGGCTAGGATTAAAACAGTTATGGTTATGGTAAGTACAGAGGTTGAACATACTTCTTCCAGATATAGCGTTGACTTCAGGTCTCTGTTTTGGGTACTAGCAGTTATTCTGGTCGAGCTTCTGTTGTTTCCTCACTAACTTAGGTGACACATTTAAGGGAATCATCTTTATCTCGGGTATAATGGTATTCGAAGTACCAATAAATATTAGATGAATAATGTAGGCTTTATCAGAAACCAAAATCATGAGATAATCACTGAAAGACAGGGGGTACTGGACATCTGTTTCGTTCTAGTCAGTGACTCTTCATCAGTGTGAAACCATAACTCCACCGCTAGGAACTGAACCTAGGACCTTCAGGTTATGAGTTTAGCTGCTGACCTTTCAACCACCAGTTTGGAACTCAGTTATATGTGATTTATAACTTCTGTCGATTAGTGACTTAGTGCTACGCCTAATATCTCTGAATCATATTGATTCATGACAAAATCTACGTTGAAATTAATTCGAATCTCTACACAATCCATAAAATGATAATACGAAGTGACATAATCTAGCGGTATTTAACGTTTTAAGTTCTCATTCAAGTTTATTCACCTTCATTTCGGTATCAGTCTTCTCAATACACCAGCCTATTTACTGACTGGATGTAGAGTATTGTTAATCTTTCAGATTGACTATGTGAAAATGCTTACGACATGCATCCCACCTTCTAATGTGAATTGTTACTTCTGGATTAGTCTGTGTGATAAGACTCAGCATAAAATATTATATCGTCCTTTCTCACGAATCTTGTGGTGGATTTACTATGCTGATCCATCTTTTCTCACGCATATTATGATTTAGTGTGTGATCAATTCATCGTCTTTTGTCTCACCTTGGTCCTCATCAGATCACCAACCTATCAGAATAGAAATTTCCAGCCAATAAGATCAGTCCATTCCCACGGTTGTGAGCCAACTGTATTGGGATAAATTAAATATATAAATATGTTTTGTTTCCCAATAAATGTATAATACAATATCTTACATGAGGCTAGCAACATCATGCTGTAAAATTAAACACTGCTACCGAAACTTCAAGCCTCTAGCTTGAAGCCCAATGTTCCATTAGGAACGTGAAGGAATAAAAAAAGCCATATCTCTTACAGTCACAGGCCAGCCTTTGTCTTTCGAAAGTTTCATGGCTCAATGGATCAGAAGGTACAACGGACAAATAGACGTATTAGCCTACCAGTCGATTTCATTACCGTTATAGTAATTAACAGGCGCAGACATAATAACAAAGTGCAACGGATTTATTCAGTTCATTTCAGCAATAACACTGTATCAATATCCCATAAGACCGTTGGAAGTGAAGTGATTGAACACATCAATCAATTCACCTACCCAGAGAGTCACATCTCTTCTAATAGTAGGTGGTTGACTAACAAAATCTTGATACGAAAATCGAAGATTCAGTCGGCTTCTGTTAAACGCTCTCTACCTTATAATATTGATACGAAAAATAGCGACTGAAGTTGAACCACTCAAAGAGATCACATTCATTTGGCTGCAGCCGTCTTGTTATTTTTTTAAGTGTAGACTACAATGTAAGCAAGCGACCCTGAAGAAATAAGGATGATTCAGCACGCGATCTGTGCATCGGTGGTTCAGTGGTAGAATGTCTGCTGACTATGCACATGGTCTGGGGTTCGATCCCCGGCCAACTCATTCCTAAACCTCGCTTAGCCAGTAGTAAGCCCGGCAAAGAGGGAAGGTCGGATGTGTAAAAAGAACACTGCTGCTGAGACTATAAAGCTAAAGCTTGAAGCCCTATGTCCCACTCGGATCGCAAAGGAATAAAAAACACCTGATCTGTGCATGCTTTCTGTTTACAAAAGATGAAGTCTCATCTCGGACTGCTCAATTTACAAGTGCTTGGTTCTTTTTCTATATTCTGTGTTTGCCTAACTAGAATTTAAGTCATTAGAACGATCCGGTTTAAAAAGCCAATTAGCTGTGCACGAAACAAGTTAAACAATCATTGGATGTTTTGATTACCTCGATTTGAACATAGAATCTTTTTGAACGGTTGTTAGTAGTATATTTTATATTTGCCTTTAGTACGAGATTGTTGTTATACGCCTAAAATACCGTTGACCCCATATTTGATCGCAGCCCTCTGTCTGGGCAACCAAGTAGTATCAAGTGGCCTTAGCTATCGATTTTCGTATGGCTTTTAAGTCAAACTTTTACCATCATTACAAAATATGTAGACAGATCTTTGAAAAGAAGTCGTTGAGACTGTTTCAGTGGAAAAATTTCATAATCTCTTTATCTAGAATTCTACAGCGTTTACATATCAAATTCATCCTACTCAGATTACAGTCTTATTTCAATTTTATTTTTTAAAACTTTGTTTTAATCCACATGATTATTGTCTTTGTTGTTATTCTGAAGTGAATAGTGGAGTTGACTGTGGTTTTTTTGATAATTTTTCTATTTATATGTTGAATTCATTAAGCTTGTTTTTTGATGTTGACTTCTGATTATTATTATTATTACTTTTTCTTCCCCCTCCGACTACCACCTCCTCTTCCACGTGCCATTTTTCTCGTTTTGTATGATCTCCAGTATGCTTGTATTGTTGTTACTGCTTGTTCCATTTGACGTCTGTCTTCTTCGTCTCTTTGACGTTTCTCCTCTTGTAATCTACGTTCTTCCATTATCTTCTGATATTCTTCATTTATAATCTAATAGAAAAGAAGTTTAAGTTAAAAAATTTTGGGACAGACAAGCTTCTATGCTAGCCGTGAGGTTGTGATTTATGCACCTGCTGTCATGGTAACCTGATTAGATAGCTTCTGATTCGTTTATTTAAAGCTTAATTTTCTGAGGGATTTCTATGTCATATAACCAATCAGATTTGTCTGTTTTTATACCCTAAATTTCTGAGGTTTTGTAAATATGGCATACCAGGTATTCTGTCTAATCAACATTGTTGTGGTTATTTTCGGTCGTTTTTGTTTTTCCCAGTCTGACTTTTGTATCTATCTCAGTATGGCAGATACTTTCAAGAGATTAAGTTGAATATAGTGTGGTGTTCTAGAGGCGCATTCTGGTCAAGTTAAACGAATCACAACCCAGTATCACCCAATCATAACAACAAAAGAATTATATATATGATTATAAAGAAAGTAAGAATATATTGAACAACTGAGTGACCAGCACTGGAATACAGGATGTGCATTTCGTCCTGTTTTGAGGCTCGTCATCTGGATGTACGTGCCTGCATTCCCCTAGTGTGTGATGTTGGCATTCCCACTTAGACTCGAACCCAGTACCTGTCGTTTCAGACCTAAAAGCACTATCCAATCTCCACCACTCACTGGGTATTGCTGCGTGTATATCCAGCTGACGAGTCCCAAACAAGACGAAATGAGCACCTTGGATTTCACTGCTAGTCAGCACCAACCTAAATGACTTCATGTCAATCCTCCGTACTAGGAGACGCTGATGTGTCAAAAGAGAATGAATATTTCGGTCCAATATAATCAGTCTGTCAGTTTGACTTCGCCTGTGGAGCCAGTTACATTGGGCCTGCAATTAAGCTTGTTTATTGTCGGATTTCTGAACATCATCCTGCATGGTTAAACAAGGGACAGACAAGGTTTATTCGCAGCTCTATTCTGATCCATCTTGTAGACACTGAACATAAAATCGATGTTAAAAAGGCTTTTAAAGTTATCTACCATGCCCTGACTAATCCTAATTTTACCCTACGAGTTCGATTTTATGTATCACTGAAGCCGTCGGAATTCACCTTAAGAAGCCTAACCTAAGTGTTCCCAGGAGTTTCCTTTAGACTCTTTCCCAACCATGGCTATCACTGTTTTAAAAATCATCAGCTGTCGCATAAAATTTCTTGATTTCACCTGATATTCAGCTAAGCATTGCATTTTTTGTGCTTGTTATCACTTACACATATTTTTGAACTGTAATTCCACTGATCTTGACAACTAGGTATTGTTTGAAAACATCAGCGTTGTCAATAAGAATTTCCCTTTAAATATTATGCATCGGCAGGAAGTCTTGAACCTAGATCTCGTGCTTCTTGGTACTCGTCAGCAAGACGTGTCTGCAATCTTGAGACAACTCATCTCTCATCTTAGATTCAATCCAGTGTAACCCAACGCTGCAGTAGGAGACGTTACGACTGAGCTATTCGGGCTCATGGTTGACTACCTTTAGAATTGTATTGGATACTGTGATTGGACACTAGGCATTTACTGATACCATGTTCCTAGTCCCTTATCTGGTGCAGACAGTCAAGTTTACAATGTGGCAATATCTTTGAATGCAGCACTTGGTGACGTGGGTTCAAATCGCAGAAGCGATATAAGTTCCCTCGAGAGTTCAGACATGCCTTGCTAACGAGTGGCAACAAACACAAAACTCAGGACGTCAAAGTCTTTCTGCCGATTGCCCACAACCATCTAAAAGCAACAATTCAGAGCGCACTGCGATGCTGAGCTACCCAGCTGTGTGGTCACTTTGAAAACTTGACTGAATTTGGCCCACACAGAACATTGGACTAGATGTATGACACTGGTTACTACCTTCTCTCCAATCAAAGTATATATATTCGCTCACCTGAAAGCGTTCGTTCAGTTCATTGTAAGCAGCTTTCTCCTCAGTATATTCTGCTTCAAGTTTGTCATATTCCTCCTGAAAAATATAAATAAACCAAAAAGAAAGATTGACCGATTAATTTCAAAGTGATTTTCGCTTTATTTTCCATTTTTTTTTATTTCGAGTGGAAAATACGAACGGCTTCAAGCCTGAGCTTTGAAGTTTAAGTAGTGGTGAGTGGTACTGTTCTTAGGAGATGGGGTTCCTACCCTTACACCCCATGTTTCCTCTTCTCTAGTTTACTAATCGATAGTAAGTAATATCAGTTAATAAACTAAATGAGATTAAGTAGTGATCTGGTTGGAAATCTATTCTTCTGATCATGTTAATGGTTGTTTGTAAGAATTCTACGACTGAACCACGAAAGCGAAACGGACTGAAATAAGTGTCAGTTTCAATTTAAACACACTGAAGTAAGATTTTTAAATAGCTGCTTACAAACCTATATGCCATGCCTCAAAGGAGACTTAAAATCCTACACTTTGTTTTAATGTTTTAGTTAATTAAATTATGCGAAAAATATCCATCTGGACAAGGAAATAGGAATAGGTAGTTCTGCGAAGAAATAGGTGATTTCGTTCCCTTAACTGTACGATCATAATTGTATATAACTATTTTGTATGTGTGTTTGTGTTTGTGTGTACATTCAGTTTGTCAAGCATAGCGAAAAACATCAGTTTTGAATATAGTATCAAAACATATGGCGGAATAGTGAACATGAATTAAGATGTAACGTACGGTGTGAAAATTAATGAGCTTAGACTAGAGTTTGCTGAATAGGAAGAAATCAGTTCGGAAATCTGATACAATTAGCACAAATAACAAGATTTTGATTTTCAGTATCAATGGTAGTTCACTGTTTCTGTGTGATTCAGATACTTCGCGTGACAAGAAAAGCATTTCCAACAGGTTAAAGCAGACATATATCAACTGCTGCCCTGGCTCCCTAGTGAAGGTTAGATGGCCAACAAGGACTGAAAACAAAGAACTCTGGGAACGGACCAGTCAACTGACAAATATGCACAGGTAAATGCAGATGAACTGGACACATGTCCAGGCGACTGTTGAGCGACATCATCCATCAAGCTCTCGAGTGGAATCTGAATGGGGGGACGACTAGTTGGGTCTGGGCGGAGAGTGACATCGAGAAGACCGTGTAGAGACGAGATGAAAGCTTATGGTCAGTTGTGAAGCCACCTAAATAAGACTGTAAAGAACAGGATGAACTGCAGATTTGTTACAGGATACCTGTGTTACACTCATATGACTCAAGGGAATGGCATTAATAATGATGAAAATTATAGAATTTATTATTGAGAAGGGAATTATGAGTAGTTATAACCGCAAACACACAATTTACCTGTAACACTGTCATTTCTTGATCATATTTGGAAATTTTTGATTCTATATCACTTTCCATTTTATAAATTGTTTTACGCAGTACTTCCTCTTCACAACGATTTGTTTCAATCAACTTTTCAAGTAGTTGATTTTGAGTTTTACATTGTTTTTTCAAATCATCTTCTTTTTCTAATTGTAGTAGATTTTGGAGAATGAAAACAAAAGGGATTATTACAGTCATAATGATGATAGCTGAAGCTTCATATGACATCCACAAAAGAGAATTTTTTTATTTTAATTCTTTGCGTTCTCAGTGGAATATAGGATTTCAAGATTCAGCTTTTTTTATGTGGGGTAATGTTATAAGCCTTACGCCTAACCTTCCCTCTTTACCACACTTACTACCAGCTTAGCGAAGTTTATGAGTGCATCGGCCGGACCCGGAACACGTGCATGGTTTGTGAGCATCTTACTGTTCCACCACCGAAGCAGTGTACAAAAGGAAAAGCTGAGGAAAAATGAACTGCAAGTCTCTGATGAACTGCTGGTTGATAGACAAGACATGAGTAACCAGTAGTGCTTGTTCGACAGAATGAAGAGATACAAAACGCCAAATGGCCACTTTGCTCCTTTGGAGTGCCCGGATTTTGACCCATATCAGAAAGGTGAATCAGTCCAAACCATCAGAATATTGGCTAGCTACTTTGGCGAACTGGTAATACCTTAAATTAAATTCATAATTCTCAAATTAATTAGCTATGTGATCTGAATAATAGTTTTGGTTTTCAAACGAAACTGTGGTGAAATGTCACCTCCCTGGACTATGCAAATTATAAATGACGAATGCGAAAAAAAATCAGGTTGTTCTGAAGTAATGGAGAAGGTTCATAGATGTGGAAGATGTCTTTGATGTTTAATTAAAATCAAATAATCAAGCTGAGAGAATACAGTAACATCACAATTTGTCTTGTAATACTGACATATATAGGAACCCCAACTCCTCCTGTATTAGGACGTTTAAAATAAAGAAGAGGCGGAGTGATTCAGCAAACAGACTCTTTTACTCCATGTTCGGTCATGGATTGATTTCAGTCACAGGACTGCTGAAAACCAGAGGGTACTGGACGGCTGTTTCATCGTAGTTTAGGATTCCTAATCAGAATGCAACCGTCAAGGTTCGAACTTATGACCTTGAGCTCACAAGGCTAGCTCGTAGACCATTAGTCCACTGGGACCCGATCCAGCGGCTCATGAATTCTAGTTTCTAACAAATTTTTGATTTTAACGCTACCACCAGCCAGTGTCATCGGAGATTATTTTTTATTTCATTATTATCTTATTTCACGATTCTGTTCAACAAGTTTTGTCATCTGAAGAAACATCTAATGAGTGTTGTTGCGTAATACATGTTGAACAAGTCTATTTCGTAAGGAAATCTCTGACTTCTCTTAATTCGATAACTAGAAATTTAGCAATACAAAGAAAACGAACACGTACTGATTTTAGTAGGTTGTTTTCCACTTCGTAAACAGTTTTAAAGGAGGAGGTTATGAATGGTTGATCCACTTCTACGTCATCATAACCAGATAGAATAGTATTCTTGAACAATTTTCGGCTGAATCCAATGTGAAAAGCTGATGTATTATTATTATTCCCTTGGGTCTCCAGTGGGATATAGGGCCTAGCAGCGTTTTGCCTATTTGAAGTCTTTCGCAGATGACTCCATGACTGCCCACAAGCTCTCATTTCCTCCACACACAATCTCCTCCATGTCTGTCTTGGACCCCCACCCAAATCGTTTTCCCATCGGGTCTCACTCGTGGGTCTGGTGTGTAATGTCACCCAACAGTCTTATTTATTTTCAGGCAATTGGTCCTTGCTTAGTCTGTTTCCAGATTGCTTTGTTACTTATCCTTCCTGGCTGGCTATCTGATCTTCAACATGGAAAGAAGGCAGGTGTTGATGGAAGTCCACAGTAGCCTGTTCGAAATGCTTTCCGTGACATGCGGTACTAGCTGACTTGACATTGGTGTTGAAAATCCAAATCTTGTTCTCAGTGCTTACTGCAGCAGATTTCCACATTGATTTCTGAGTTATCAACGTCTGTCTTGCTTTTCCGTTCCACGCTGGCTTTGACATCCTCATTTACAACCCCTGTGTGGCTAAAACTGTAAAAACAGAAGGCAAGACACGGGAGCCAAGGTATATTTTTCATTGATCAAACCGCTATTTATAATATACAGTTTATATTCGTTCACCAATCACTAGCATGTGACTTCGGTTTACATCAAACGACATGAAATAGAACGTTCAAATATACATAGTATTCTGTTGCCAATGCAGCATTGAACTGTGGGAAAGTATTCTGTCTCTAACATCAAACAGAATGTTCAAATAGATATACCGTATTCTGTTGCTTGTGCCGAATTGAACTGTGGGAATATGTGAGAATAATATTCCGTTGGAACACATTGTTTGTATCACACTACCACCAACGATGCTGCCCAGATAAGTGAAGGAAGTGATTTCCCTCAAATTTCTCCCGTTGACAGTGATTGATGCTTGTTGTTTTTGGTTGTCGGTTATCTTCATCACCTCCATCTTCTCGACGTTGAATAGATGTCCTGTCTTCGCTTTTTCTTCTGCCTACTTGTTGGTTTTCGCCTGTAGATCTTCAAGTTTGTGTGACTGATTTACCTACCTCCATCTAAAGAAGCAGGTGATCTGGTATACACAAATTCAAGGGGTCATATTAGAACTCTTGCCTTTCACAATGAACAGAAATACTGGTCGATTTAGGAAAGCTGCTCTAGTCGTCTCGTTTTATAATCTTAGGTGTTATCCTTAAGGATGTCAGCATTTAAGTTTCCTATGAAGCCGAAATTTATATATTCCCTATCCACAATTATGAGTAAAATGTTGATGTATGATACTATGTGTAGAAAATAATTTTTAGAAACTTCGGATTCAACAATAATAAAGAATCCGAAGGAAGTTACTGCGTTAGGTGTCTCCAAACAATATGAGGTACCTAGACATCTTAAAGGTTTGATACCAACAGTTAAAAACTTCAAGGTTGGATGCTTGTTAGATAGGACAACCTATCTTTGTTATCCCTGAAGTCATGATTTATGCATGCACTGACATGATAACCTAATTGGATAGATTTTGATTGGCTTATTTATGGCTTGAGTTCCTGAGGTTTCGTTAACTATATACACCATGTTTTTTGACTAATAAAACGTTATCGTTGCTGTCGCAGTTAAATCTCAATCCTTTGTCAATCTTAGTGTTAGGGATACTTTCAAATGTTCAGTTGGTCGTAGTTTCGTGTCTGGAGGTGCATTTTAGTCAAGCTATACGAAATCGTAACCACAATAATACTCCGTCATAACAATGCCAGACCTACATACTTTCTTAACTTCAGTAAATATTAGGTGTAGAGAAAAGCTAAACGAAAGCCCGCACGATATGCGTCCGTTCCATCTAACCTCATAGGGTGATCTGTCTGACCTAACACATTATGTCCGATCTCAGCACTACCCACTCTGTTGCGTCACTACACTTATACAATATTATAATTCTGTCTTTAATGAAAAATCTACAATGCTTTTTTCAGCCATGGCTCACAGACATGAATTAATACAGTAGGTTGGGTCTTTTTACATACACCTTAGAATAGGTCTGGCGAATATCATGTCAGTAACAGAAATGGCACATCTAAGCAATATGCATTGGCGAACTTCCTGCAGTCTAAATGAAATTTCGACAACAGAAAGCTGATACAAGCAATGACTGTACACTTTAAGATATTTTTTGTCTGAAAATATATTAAAGAAATCAATCGAATTCCTTTCGTATAATTTTTTTAGGAATAAAATTGGTTTCAACCTACCATTACTTTGATTCTTAATTTCTGTCATTTTTTTCATCTCTTCAGTGTTAACTTGTTTTGTACGTTCAGTTAAATACTTTTCAAGATTTTCAATTTCATTTTTAAGTTTAGAAACTGTATAACCAATTTTACGAGTCTATAAATATGAAGTAAAATAAAACCTTTTTTAAAAAACTACACATTCTATTAGAGCATTTAACAATGAACTACCGTATTACATGTATGAATGTTTAGACTCCATTGAAACAGTGCTATCAAACTAGGTACTAAAGTCAGTGAGGTACAATTCTCCGAGATGATTTGATGTCTCCCAAAAATATCATCTGAATAATCTGAGGAATGAAGCAGCTATCAACTACTTCTTGGTGGAGTCATGAGTACGTACTGATGAGGAGTCCCAAACGAGGACGAAACAGCTGACTAATCCTCTGTGATTTTCATTGGTTCCCTAATTGAATTCAGTTCTTGGAATCTATTAAATCCCTGCGAATCAATACTTGGCAATTGATCCAGTTCACTCTAGAGATTGATTACAGGATGAATTCATCTGAAGCTCTAGTCAGAAATTGTGGCCAGTGGAGTCTACTGTGTGTAAGGACAACTACTCATGGATGACATTCGCTGGTGGTCACACCACGGATCGCCAGAAGTTTGAATTCATGGTCTGTGGGATTCCATCCCAGTGACTTAATGGCTAGTGAGCTTGTCTCGTAACCTGAATGTCTTGGGTTCGATCCGTAGCAGTGTGATCGCGTACTGATGAAGAGTCTCAGACAATGACGAAACAGCTGCCTAGTACTCATTGGTGGTTTTCAGTGGTTTGCTAACCGAAATCAGTCTGTGGAGATTTTTATAAGGTAAGATTAGTAAATTATGGTGGGTTTAAAATACTCCTCTAATACGCTATTATTTCGAATCTTAGTCAACTTAGGATAGAGTACTTTTTGGGCTGGTGTCTCTAATCGATTCCCCAAGTAATACATTAAATTTTCCAACAATTATAAAATAATGTATCAGTTGAATGAAACTTTATTCAGCAATTAGTTTTTAGAAAGAACTCATCATTATTTTAAAAGACAGCATACTAAGGTTTTTTATGATCAGATGTTACTGATTTCTAGGGTCGTCCAACTTGACTAGAATAAGCCTTCAGGACACCACACTATAACCAACTATTCACTTGAAATTATCTCCCACATTGAAATATACACAAAAGTCAGACTGAGTAAAACGACCACCATAACGTCAACAACGTTTGTTAGGCAAAATACATATTAGTTTTGGTTTGGTTTAAATCGAGGTTCAATAACTTTGCTCAAACTAGAGCATGACAATAAACAATGGCAGCGACCGAATGAACTTGACCAAACCATCCAGACAAAGGAATGAAAAATCCCTTGCGTTTTGGGTCAGTTTAAAACTAGGCACCAGTAAGTATCAATGGAGTTTGATTGCACTAGCGACCTTGAAACTCTCATTGAGCAAGTTAGTGAAATCTGGTAGATAATATTGTAATTATGAATGGAATATGCTCGATTGTAATGCTAATAAGTGGGACATCTGGTTAGGTTTGGGGAAGATTAACTTAAGATTTAGGCTAAGGATAGGTTAGGGTTAGGTTTTCCTGATCATGAGGTTATTAGGGTTAGTTCGAGTCAGATTAGTGTTAGTTTCAGGATATATGCACGCTAGGGTTACTGTGCGTCGGTGGCACAGTGGTTATGACTCTCGCCGACCATGCACATGGTCCGGGGTTCGATCTCCTGCCGACGCACACCCGATATCTATGGTCGGCCTGCAAAATTTGGGCTACCGATATCCATGCTGAAAATCGCATACTTGTACTGAAAATACGGTGTGGTATCAAGCTGTAATCAAAATTTTAAAAAAATAAATAGATTTACAAAACTTCAGGGATTTGAGCCATGGATAAATAAATAAATCTGATTGTTTGTCTGACCTCCGAAAATTGAGCCATGAAAGACGAATCAAAAACTGTCCAATCAGGTTATCATGTCAGTACATACATAGATCATGACTTCATGGCTAACAAAGAAGCTAGTCCGTCCTAACAGAAGTGAGTTAATAGGAACAGACATTTCACTTGACACAATATGAATTACACCTATGTTGTATGAGACTGCTGATGATGATACTATTCATTTGTCCAGTGTGAACTAGACGGAACTGGATTCGTATCTGCGGCCCATTAACTGAAAGTCAACTGTTTAAGAAGGTTAGCCACACCTCCAGGATACACACAGAACTCTCATATATGTTTACACCAAATTATTCCACATAAATATGCAAAGTTGTGAATACAGTCTTTCAAGTTAGATTACGAGCTGACATCAGTTTCAGAACCATTAGTACTGGACAGCTGTTTCGACCTACTATGGGACTCTTCATAAATGCTAAGCCATCAACCCGCCACTAGGGATAGAACTCAGGACTTTCACGTTACAGGACCAGCTCACTGACCATTCAGACATTTGAAATGAATTCGAAAGCCAACAATTCCTAACTTCTGCAAACTCGCGATACAGAGCTTGTGCCACCGCCCCCCTCCCAAAGTCATCTACGGGTATTCAGTCTCAAGTTGAATAACAACCACAATTCTACTATTATGCAAATATGAATAACTTACCTCTGTATTATTTTTACATATTTGTTTATCTAATTCTTTAATAAGTCCATTTAATTTTGTCTGACATTCTTGATCTCTATTTTCAAGTTCTTTGATATAATTTTTTCTACGTTTTTTATCCTCTGGTGTTGTTAGCAATTTTGTTAATAATAATATTCTTAAATGTATTAAAAATTCTAATAATTTTGTTTTATTATCCTCATCAAATTGTGGTATATTAATCCATTGAACACTATCTTTAAAATTACTTATTATCTCAGGTAATTTCCATTCAGTTGGATATTCATATTGATATTGACATTCAACTTTTTTTAACATAATACTTGCTAGAAATTGATTTATCAGTGGTTTTGATAGTAAGAAATGTAGTAAATTGCGAATGTGATCTCTCATTTCTTCCTCTTCACTTTCTTCTACTACTTTTCTCTCAGTTATAGTAGTATCTTCCTGTAAAGCAGAAAAAACGTATCATACACATCATGACACTTAAATTTTAACATAAAATTCCACTTTATTGACTGACTTGTTGAAGGATCAGTGTAATGGATCAATTCACGTTGATATGCTTTTTGAGAAGTACACATAATGAGGAAACAAAACTATTCTGGGACAGAAAAATGTGTGCACACGGTTAAGAATACTTCAGTGAGATGAGTGAACTATTTCACACTTCTGGAAGACGAGAAAAATGGATACCTTTTGTGTAATTGTAAACAGTTTTCGGTAAATTTGGTTGACGGGCGGGCATTATTTTGAGTATTTATGAAGTTCTTCACTGAAGAAATAATAACCTTTTAAAAATAATCACCTTTTCATTATTCTCATCATTGCTCCTCTGTGTTATACAAGTGGAACTTAGGGCTTCTGTGAAACACATCTCCGCTCTACTCCAAAGGTTGCATTCCTGTTTAGCTGCATCAGTGATTGCCAATAAGCTTTTATCTCCTCCTCTCGGAGTAGAAACAACTCGTAGATATCTATTCACATTCAACTTGAGGTTCTGGCGGATGTCGAATCCATCTTCATTTCCATTGCCACATTTGTTAGGTGATAGCTTCTTGGTTGCTTCGTATTCAGAGATCTTTGTGGCTGATCCTTTCTGGTTATCTGACTTTAAGTATGGAACGAAGACAGCGGTTGATGAGACCACTAGATTATGCGAACATCAACAAGGCAGGATGGCGTACACTACTGATTGAGTGATATGAATAGTTGAATACCACTCACATCAACCACTAGTGTTTGCTAGACAAACTGCAATAATCTAAACACTGGACTGACGTTTCCAGAAAGACTTCACCTCGAACTGTGTAAGTTGTGAATTGCGAATTCGATTCCATGTATCACCAGTTCTAAGTAGCTAACCAGCCACAATTCATGTAATTTGAATTGATTCGATTGTCTAACCTGAGTTGAAAACAGGGTACACCACTGATGACCTCGGCCAGCAAAAGAGTCATTTGGTTTTTTAATCACTTCGATCTGACTACCAAGCACTACTTAGTGATGTGAGTGGTATCCAACTACTCATATCAGTAAGTTAGTAGTGTATGGCGTCACAAATAAAGTTCACTTAGAATAGATCTCCAAAGCGAAACTGAAATCCACTGAATGCTATTACTGTTTTACTCATATTCATTTAGGTAAACAAATTCCATAACAAATATTATAGCACAACATTAGATGACATACCGACGTTCAAATGTACAACTTATTAAAGTTAACACAATGAGAAAAGTTGACATGAATTTGGAAATAAAAGGCTAGAATAGATACCAACTCAAAATTGACTTCTAGAAGGATAATGCTATGATGAAGTGTAATGGCGGTTGTGGTGCCGTCTAGCATGACTAGAATGCGTCTCCAGAACACCACACTATTACCAACTGATCACTTGAAAATATCCATCACACTGAGGCAGACACAAAAGATAGACTGTGAAAAATGACGACGACGACAACATTTACTAGACAAAATACATGGTGTATTATATTTTCGAAACCTCAGAAATTTAAGCCATAATCAAACAAATCTGACTGGTTGTCTGTCAATGAAAATGCTTCAGAAGATTAAGCCTTAGATAAAGTTGTTCAATCATGTCAGTGCATGCATAAATGTTGACCACATGGCTAACAAAGGAGTCTGTTTCCCCTAACACAAATAAGATACATAGAAGAAAGAATAAACACTCGAACTTGTTAAGTGTGACGTAGAACAATGAGCCATCTACAGTACCATAAAGCTGTCAAATACTTATGATTTGTATTCAAGTATTGGTTTGTAGGGATTTGATTGATTGGTTATAGGATTTCATCATGAGCTGACATCGGTTAGTGGAGCACTGTTTCGTCCTAGTTTGGGACTCTTCATCAGTATGCACCTAACACCAATACTTGAATATCAATGAGATGCTCACTAGCGACTGGCCCTATTCAGGCAGGTAGTTACGTGGGTTCTAGTGGAAAGTCGTGACCAGTAGGGTGCAGCAGGTCGAGTGTGAGGACATATATTCGCCACACATGGCACTGCCTAGCGGTCGCGCCATGTCGTAAATTGGCAGAAGCTAGAATTCATGGGCCATTGGATCGGGTCTCAGTGGCTTGATGGTCTACAAGCTCGCCTATTAACCAGAAGGTCCTAGGTTTGAACACCGTGGTGTGGATGCGTACTGTTGAAGAGCCCCAAACTAGGACGAAACAGAAGTCCAGTACTCCCAGGTTTTCCAATGGTTCTGTAACTGGTATCAGCTCATGATGAAATCCTGTAACTTATGATTTATATTGATCAATCTCTTGGGTGTAATCACAGTGTCATACGTCTAATACTTCTTGACTGGCTGACTGAATTCTATTAGTATATTTTCACAAGTCAACATGACTTAGCATCAGTGATGCACTTTTTGAATTATTCTGTTATAGCCAGATGTCGCTGCCTACTGATCACCTGCACTCATCTAACTTAATATATGACTATAGTTTGAAATTCATCCTAATTATTTACCATTATATAAACAAAAGTTCAGATTATCAAGTGTTATTTCACAGGGATTTGATTGGTTAGAGGCTTGATCACAAGCTGACATCAGTTGAAGAACCACTAGGAAACCAGGGAGTACTGCACAGCTGTTTCATTTTAATTTCATGGGCCATTGAATCGGGTTCCACTGGTTTGAACCCCGGTGGGAGTGTACTACTGAAGGGTCTCAAACTAGGATGGGAATATTGAATACCTGTTTAGCTATACAGTCCAAAAATATAAAACTGCTTTTATTATTTTTTTGAACAATTATTGAAGTAGAAAGCTAATTATTATGCGTCCTGGCCGTTGTATTACTTGAACAATGTGCGACAGGTGACTTTTTGTCCAGATTCACACCGCTAATCATCAGGATTTATGCATCAAATTTTAAAAATATATTTTATAATCTATTACTTTCGAGAAATTAAGCATTTCTCATAGGATTTATTTTATGCATATTACACTCAGTAAAATACTGTGTTCTAAGACTGAAGGATTCCAGAAATCTTCAAAATTTTTCTATAGGTTTATATAAACAAATACTAGAATTAAGCACTTATATTCGTCTTTTCTAGTATCGATCAAATTAAGCGGCAGAGAGATAAGTTGTATCAAGTTTTTTTAGCAGAATATACTATTGAGTTTTTGAATCATGTTAGTTACTTGCGCAGACATCTAAACTGGCTATGACTTTGTATCTGTGCCTCTCTTATTAAACAAGTTCGCCGGACTACCAAGTGATTGCATTCATATATTTCTGATAAGAAGAACTAAGCGGTTTACAACTGGAAGTTCTCCACTGCTTCACTTACTCTAGCCGGTGTTCCTCAAGGATCTGTTGTTTTTCCTTTTCTGTCTTCTTTATTGTGCAACAGAAAACAGACATCTAAACTGACGTGAAGCACTGACTGCACAAAATGTATACGTTTATGTAACCATAGTTAGTAATCTTATGCAAAGTTGGGCGAATAGACATAGAGTGACACTATGAAAGGAGAATATAAATATGTTCCCCTTACGTCAGTAGTTATGGATTTTAAAGTATCGTGATGCATTTTGTTCAGACCATATCTGACAATTCTATCAACTTATTCCTAGCTCAAATAATGTATGAGGCAGAGGCGTTAACACATTAAAACTCATAAAAAATATGTAGGCGATAACTCAGATGAAATTATGTTCTTCAGATAAACATTTGATAAGTCATCAAAACATTCCATTTTTATCGCGGTATAATATAGTAATTATGTCATAGGTTGCGCAGTAATGATAAGCAGGTATTTCTTTTATGTTGACTGACTGAAAAACTAAAGTAAAATTTAACTCATTTCGAACCACTATACTACTAAAAAGGATAGGAGAACATAAATATATCACAGAAACTTGAAAAATAGTTTGACCGACAGTAACAGAGAGAAAAATAGCACAGTGAACAATTTAACCCATAAATATGTGCATAAATTCTCCTAACATCAAGTTGTAAGTAAAGTATAGCCTGTTTGATTGAAGATCATAGCTTGTATTCGGGCGCAAAAGGTGAAAACGCATAGTTACTGTTAAAAAATGTAATGCCAATAAATAAAATAGGTGTTTATTTATACTCTGAGTAAAGTATTTAATCAACTTTATGTGACTTAATATAGATAAATAGTCTTGGGAAACAGTTCATTCATTCAATGTGCTTTTTCAAATTGTTGATCAACAAACTTAAGAATTTTCTAACTTCAGCCATTGAAAACATTACCTCTAGTGAATCTCATATGGATAGATACACCACTCATAGACTCACCGTATTCGCTTTGATTTGTGACTCTACAAATGTTGACATGATGATTCAGTCTACACAATACTTACCTTCGTTTATCAGCAATTCGCAATTGTCCGATGAATTCTGATTAATTTTGTCCTCACTAGTATTACTAGCTTTGGGCAAGTCATATTTCCCCATTTGTTTCAAGAAAGTATTCACACGATCTAGTATATTTTTCTCCTCCTAAATATCAAAATGTTTGGGAGGTAATAAGAAATAATTGTACCTTCACATTTTCTGTTATATTTTGTAAACATAAAACAGTCAAAACCTTTTGAATAGTAGAATCCAAAACTGCAAGGACCTTTCTAGCCATTGGTGATCCAATATGCCTACTGAGAGGCATAAGGTCCTGTATGAAATTCATTTTCTGACATGGTACACTGTTTTCTAAATTCACATCTACAGTCGACATTTGGAAACTATCCCAAAAATGTAGATTGGTCTCAAGTTCAGTGACGCAATTTTGACTCACACGGTGAGGTAAAACCCTGAAAATGGAAAGGAAAAACACGTTATGCATAGTCACAAGCACTATGTTCTGAATCAAGAAAATATTTGATTAAATTAATTAAAACTTCTTGTCTCGAATGTACAGACTATAAGGGCAGTAAAATGGTAAAATGTTTTGAGCCTAAAAATGTGCTGTTAAGGAGGACTATACTCCATAAACAATCCATCTGAAAATCTGAAGAAAATATGATCTCTTATGGTGTGTCAGAATACAATTTACACCAAATAAAAAAGTCTAGAATTTCATTTCGAATTACAGAAAAGAAGTTGGTACAAACACCAGAAAATAATCCATGACTCCAGATGTTTTCTGAAATTCAAGGCCTGATAGTGGAACAACTAAATAATAATTAGATTTATACATAAGCAGTTGGAGAAAACAATTCTCATAACTTAAGCTTTATAAAAGCAACTGATGGTTAACACGGAAAATCTACCTATAGTCAATATATATACCTCAAATCAAATAAAGGTAGCTATGAAGTGCATATGTGTTTTAGGAGATGACACAGTGTTGACCTTTATGTGAAGTACGATGTATACCAACACAAGTTCTTTTGCCCACAACTCTTATAGTATTTTTCGGCAAAAACCAAAGGCAAGTCAAAACACTTTTCGGGATCAAAATCATAGTGACTAGCTAGAGATCGTGCATAAACCAACAAACGTAACACAACGGCGTGCCAAATGGCGTGGATGCCTGCCACGAGCTTTCAGCTTAACGAGTCGACTTAAAGAGTGAGGGTCAGCATCTAGTGTTAATTGAAGAATGCTGTAGGCTAATAATCGTGGAAAATTATTTACTGCCATATGTTTATGTAGATGCACTAGGTAAGTGAATTGGTAGGAAGCTAACAATGCTATTTGTTAGCTTACAAGACTAACTGGAGTCGTCGATACATTAGATAAAACAATGCTAGAGCAAAAAGATTTCGCGACCAACCATGGTGTCATAACTCTAACTAATGATGTTTCTAAGTCCTTCAAATAATAGGATTCATAGCGCTATTCTGAAGTAAAACCTTAAAGAAATGTTAGGATAATTTTGGGGTATTCTAAGGGGAGGGGGAGGACATTTTTGAGTAATATCGGAACATTTTGATGATTCCATGGACGATTATAATGACCTACACCTTGGTGGAACAAAGAATTAAAACTTTTCAAGTCATTTTAAGCAAAACAACAAGTAGGGGTTCCAAATTATTTAACTATCAGAAGCTTCATTTTTATTTTAAATTGCAGTACAGTGATTACGTACAAACAAGGAAATGCCGCAAAATATCCACATTGTCCTCCCAATCGCAAAAATTGCCCTGAAACTTCTCTATCTAAAAGCTACATCCATCAGTCTCACCAGCACTTTAATAAAGACACTGGAGAGAATCATCAAGAAAAGCATAATGGCATATCTAGAAAATAGAAGCTTATTATCAAGAGCACAGCATGGCTTCCGAAGGAACCTCTCATGCCTGTCAAATCTTCTCACTGCAAGAGAAAGCTGGGTTAAATCCAGGGACAACAGAAGACCCGTTGACGTCGTCTTCATAGACTTCAGCAAAGCCTTTGATAAAGTACCTCACAAAAGACTACTCATGAAGTTAGAAAGTCTTGGTATCAAAGGCAGCTTACTAAACTGGCTCAGGGAATTCCTCATAGATAGGAGGCAGAGGGTTAGGATCAACTCGGAACTCTCCTCTTGGACAGCAGTACGCAGCGGAGTGCCACAAGGCACGGTACTTGGACCTCTCCTATTTATTTTGTATATCAATGAGTTATCTCTGCTCACCGATTCCCCTATGGTCCTATACGCAGATGACTTAAAAATTTGGAGAGAGCTGAAGGGCAACAGTGACACGTCCACGTTGCAAGAGGACCTCAACAAATTGTCAGAGTGGTCCATAGAATGGATGCTCCCGATAAACGTGACAAAATGTGCAACCATGCGCATTGGACAAGCAAGCACGAGCTCTTATGAACTACAGGGAATTACACTTCCATCAGTTCAGACTTACTTGGACTTAGGTGTCATAGTTAGCCACGACTTAAAAACTACAGCACACTGTCGCGCGGTGGCTGCACGTAGTTTCAGGTCATTATGGGCAATTCGTAGAGCCTTCACTAGAATCACCAGAGATATGTTCACCTCCTTATATACATCTCTGATGAGGTCAAGACTGGAAAACTGCATCCAGGCCGCCAGCCCTTGTCTAAAAGGGGACTCACTTATTCTAGAAAGGGTTCAAAGGAAAGCAACACGTATGATTCAGGGCATGACTAACTTACCATACGAGGAAAGACTAGACAGTTTAAATCTCTTCTCCTTGTCATACCGTAGGCAGAGAGGAGATTTAATCACAATGTTTAAAATTTTAAATAATGACTTGGACCTGACCTATTTTCTCTTTTCCTTCCCGCCAGGTTGGAACACCTTAGAGGACATAGAAGGAGAGTTCAAAAGCCAAGAAGAAATCATATTGCTGTTGAGTACTGGTTCTCACACGGAGTCATAAACTCTTGGAATCGACTCCCAGAAGAAGTGGTGTCTGCAACCTCAGTTGATTCGTTCAAGAAGGGTTTGGACAACCACAGGAATTTCAGATTTCAGATTTCAAGCCTCATCCACACCGGTGAGTAGCAGGCAGATAAATCCTGCTACGACTAGTGAGGAGAACGCCAATGAATGGCGTGACGTAGTCTCTCGCAAAAAGCGAGATAAGGACAATACATTGGCCACACTGCCCACGAAGGATAGGAAGACATTCACGCCGCAGAGCAAGAAAACCACGGCAAGCAAACCTGATCTCTCTGACAGGTCGCTCATTCTCCACAAAGTGGAAGAGTCATTGGCCCCCGAACCCAAGACTAGATTTGAGCATGACCTTAACTTGGTTAAGCCGCTTTTAGACAAGCTACTGCCACAAACAGTATCAGGCGTCACTATACACAGTGTATATAGAATAGGCCAAAAGCCTGACCCCACAGTAAGTCAGCCTGTACGTCTCCTCAAAGTCGTACTAAACTCTAAAGAAGAGAGGGATGCTATTCTAAGCAACTCTCATATACTTAAAGGATCAGGCATATATGTCCGCGCCGACTTAAGCCTGGCAGACCGTATCAAAAGACAGTCTGCGGCCCTAGAATTAAGCGAACGACGCCGAAACGGCGAAAAGAACCTTAAGATTAAGGGTTTTCGGGTTGTTCAAGTTCGCAGTTTAATGATCCCGAAACCTCTCTGGGTAGGCCGGGGAAGCACCAAACTGGATTAACAGTTTGCTACACAAACGCCCGCAGCCTGTTAAATAAACGGACTGAGCTGGTTAACATGATAGACTCCGGAAACCCGGATGTAATTATTATCACAGAGACATGGCTCACACCCGATGTCACTGACAGCGAAGTTAACCTGCCAAACTTCGAAGTGCATAGGGTAGACCGACTAAACCGTAAAGGAGGTGGCGTAGTCGTTTACCTCAAGAAATGCTTAACCGTGCGTAGTATCGAAGCACTCGCTCACGAAAGTGAGTCGTGCGAACTTCTACGCTGCAGACTTAAATGCATAGGCCAAGACATCGACCTCATTGCTATGTACCGCAGTCCTAACTGCAGTGCAGATGACTTCCTGATAGAGAAGCTAGGCTCCTGGACCTCGAAATGTCGAAGTCTCGTAGTTGGCGACTTCAATGCCCCAACAGTTGACTGGACGAGCCTAACAACTCCATCCTCAGTCAACTCCTTTGATTATAAACTGCTGGAATCTAGTATATCGTTAGCTCTAGTCCAACATATCATCAAGCCCACGCGCCATGACTCACAGCACTCCTCCTCAACTCTGGACCTAGTGTTCTCCCATGGTGAGGATGTAGATCTCATACAACATCTTCCTCCTTTAGGAAGAAGTGACCATGCTGTGCTCACTTTCAAGTTCACAGCAACGGCAGCAAGGGCCAAAACCCCATCTCGACCAAACGTTTGGAAAGCTGATATAAATGCAATCGTCTCAGCAGCCAACTCAGTAAACTGGTACATCAACCCAGAGTCTCAAGTAGAAGCCGCATGGCACCAATTTAAACAACTTTACGCCCAAGTAACTGAACCTTTCATCCCTTGGTCTGTCCCAAAGGGTCGGAAACACTGCCCTCCTTGGATAAACCGAGAGATTCGTAAGTTACTTAGACGTAAACACAAATGTTGGAACTTGTTTGCCACACTTGAGACTTCTGAGACCAGGCAATTATATAACACTGCTAGAAATAAAGCTATTGCAGAAATCCACAAATCAAGGATGAAATTCGAAGCACACCTGGCTCAAAATGCAAAGGCACAACCTAAGAAGATTTTCTCATACATGAACTTCAGGAATAAAACACCCAATGGTGTCCCAAACCTGACTATTGACAATGATACAATCGAAGAAGATCAAGAAAAAGCAGAAGCAATGGCAAACTACTTCTCCCAAGTCTTCACTCAGGAGTCGTCACTGCCTACCGGATCACCTCTGGCTGCATCAGAAGAACATGGGATAGATTCCGTTGATATCGACCAAGGCATCGTGCTCAACTGCCTAAGGAAACTAGATGCAGGGAAATCAATGGGTCCTGATAATCTTCACCCAAGGCTTCTCAAGGAGTTATCAGCACACATAGCCGGCCCTTTGACTATGATCTTCAAGCTTTCTCTCCAAAATGGAGTGTTACCGCGTGACTGGAAAGATGCCATAGTAACCCCCATCCACAAAGGAGGATCGAGGCAAAGCCCTTCAAATTACAGGCCTATCAGTCTCACCAGCACTTTAATAAAGACACTGGAGAGAATCATCAAGAAAAGCATAATGGCATGTCTAGAAAATAGAAGCTTATTATCAAGAGCACAGCATGGCTTCCGAAGGAACCTCTCATGCCTGTC